TTCCCGGGCGTGCTGGCGACCCCCGGTTGCACCCTCAGATCTCGGGAGAGAACAAGGTCACCATTCCTGGAAACAGTGGCCTGACTGCCCGCCCGGTCAAGGAGAACAGCAGCGATCTCGCCGGTACAGGCCCGCATCTGAGTGCCGTTGCCGACAACAACAAGGTCGACAAGGTCGAGTCGAGCGGACAGCAGCCCAAGGTCTCGTCCCAGGAGAAGAAGTCAGAGCCTAAGCAAGAAGCACCTTCCAAGGCTGTTGCCCCGCTTGACCACCTTAACGTCCCCGCTGCCACCGAGCCCGTGGTCCAGGATGTTGTCAAGATTGTCAATGACATCATCACCGTCGTCAACGCAGACGAGTCCAACGGTGGAAAGTACAACTCGACCCTCGACAAGGCCAAGGGCGACCTTGCCAAGGTAGTTGCTGATATCAACTTGATGAAGGCAAACCTCGAAAAGGAGTCCGAGGACAAGGTCAAGGCGGCCCATGCCGAATTCGAGCAGGCCGCCAAGGAACTCGTCCAGCGCCTCGACCACCAAATGCAGGCCCAGGAAGCTCAGTTCAAGGAAGAATTCGAAAACGAGCGCGAACGTCTGTCCCAGGGCTACAAGGAGAGGCTGCAGTCTGAGCTGCAAGTAGCCCAAAAGGTCTATGAGCAGAAGCTCAAGAACCAGCTCCTCGAGCAGAGCATCAGCATGCAAAAGGCTTTCACTGCCACTGTCAAGGAGCGTGTTGAGGCTGAGCGTGAAGGCCGCCTAGGCAAGCTCAACGAGCTCTCGTCTTCGGTGCACGAGCTGGAGAAGTTGACGGCCGAGTGGAACAGCGTTATCGATGCTAACCTCAAGACACAGCATCTTGTTGTTGCTGTCGAGGCTGTAAGGTCTGCACTCGAGTCTCAGATCGTCCCAAAGCCCTTTGTCACTGAGCTGGCCGCTCTCAAAGAGATCGCTGAAGATGACCCCGTTGTCAGCGCTGCCATTGCCAGTATCAACCCCGCGGCCTATCAACGCGGCATTCCCAGCTCCGCTCTCCTGATTGACCGCTTCCGTCGCGTTGCCGCAGAAGTCAGGAAAGCCGCTCTTCTACCCGAAGACGCAGGTGTCGCTTCTCACCTTGCCTCGCTCGCCATGTCCAAGGTTTTATTTAAGAAGTCTGGTCTCGCCGTTGGGGGCGACGTCGAAGCTACTCTTGCACGCACAGAGGTCCTTCTTGAAGAAGGTGATCTAGATGCTGCTGCACGAGAAATGAACAGTCTACAAGGGTGGGCAAAGGTACTAAGCAAAGACTGGTTGGCAGAATGCAGAAGAGTCCTCGAGGTCAAGCAGGCCTTGGACGTTATTGCCACTGAGGCTCGTCTAAACAGTCTGCTCATTGACTAAAAGGACCTTCTTCTTTCCGTTATTCCCCAGCCCTGTTGATGTGTATATCCCCTAGATTTAGCCATAGACTAGGCGATGTCGGGTCTTTTTTATAAGCAGTCTTGATAGCCAGTACTATAACTTGTACCAGTAGCTCAAACAAAACTTGTTCAATGTTCATATGCAGGGTGTGGACTGGATATTGATTTCTCGTGTTCAAATTTCGTACGATACAATGCCCGCTTCTATTCACGGATTTACATGATTCCAGGCAAGTGAGGCAATTTAACGGAAGCAAAGCAGAATACTCTGGCATGTTTATATTCACTAGCAAGCCCAGTTTATACACTAGAGGCATTCGCGCCCATGCATTCATAAGAACAGACGATTCATCAAGACATTCTGAGAAACTCAACTTATATACCTTAGAGACATCCATATATACATGAGAACACACTACCTGCCACCCAACCCCCCTCAAGCCAATCCACTCTCGACAAGCCACGTCACATCGTCGTTGAACGAACTGGCACTGTCAAAGTCCTTGACACCACCATTGCTCGAAACGTACCCTACATTGTTATAATGGCGAATCCACGTCGTCGGGTACTCCCAAGCCCTAATGGAGCTACCCTGACCCGTAAGACCGGCCTGAGGACAAAACGTCGCATCTTCCTGGAATATCTTGGATCCATCATTAGCATTAACCTGCAGCACGAAATTCGCATGGCGAAGAAAGCTTCCAGCCGTGTCCTTGGACTCGAACGAAAAGCACTCGCTGTTTGCGAAGCCAGCGCGAACAATCCAGCTCGCCTGGCTCCTCAGCAGCGCAGTGCTCGATGACGACACGACTTGCGTGTTCACTGTCGCCCCTGAGTGCGCGAGGTAGCGGTCCGTGTAGCCAGGTGTTGTGGCTCTGAGAGATACACTGGATCCAACCGTGTATGCGGGTCCGCTGGTCATCAATCCGCTTCCCGTGGAATATCCTGCCGCAACAATGTTCGCCTGGACCTCGTTTTCGATTGCGTCGCTGGGATACCCGTATGTCATTGCGCCCTCGGTAAAGGTTCCCTGTGCGCCGTTGCTGTTGTCGCCGCCGATACCGAGGATGATGGCGCCTTCTTTGCTCATGGGGTTGTAGCCAGACACACTTGGGCGCGAGCCGTTGTAGTACGTTGAGAGTCCGCCTTGTGTAGCGTCTCCCCCGCGGATGGCCCAGACGCCGGGCTTGCCCTTGACGACTGCCGTTAGGAAGCGATACGAGATAGATGGGTCTTGAGTGTTTTGCTTTGGGTTTGCGCCGGAGAAGAGGCCGTTTTCTAGGTCAGCCATGACCCAGGGGCCGTTGCCGGCGCCGGTGCCCCATACGGTGTTGTCGCCAAAATAGATGGCTTCCATGTGGCCATTGCCTATTTTTTTTTGGGTGGTTAATTCGTGGGATTTTAAAATCAGAAGTTGATATGCTTACCAGTGTCTGTGTTGCTCGTCTCAGCATTGCCGTAATCAAAGCAGCAGCCGCCATTGTAATGGGTACCATCCAGGACGGCGTATATGCCTTCCGGCTCGTCTTTTACAGCCGAGCCTTTTACGTTGTCATTGCGGTACCCGGTTCCAGGTGAGATGAAGACGCCATAGGCCTTTTTGCCGTTGAGCGAAACAGGTGCACCGATAGCACTTGCAAGATTGTCGTAACCTCCAACATCTGGGCCATTGAAACCACCCGGCGGCGCTTGTGTAAGATGGTTTCCTTTGCCCGATTGGTCGTAGATGATGGAAATGAGGCATGTCGTGCCGGCACAGAAGTTGTCTTGAGCAGCTGCGTTGGCAACACCACCGGCGGACAGTGGAGCAATGTCAGTTGTGGCACCGTCTGAGCCACGCTTGACTTGATAGAGCGGTCCACTGTATGCATTGTACAGAGCACGAGTGGTGGCGTGCGCGGCAATGCATGGTGTGTTGCCTGTGGCGTAAATGTCACAAGGCCCTGCATGAACCAGTGAACCTGAGGCTGCAAGCCCAAGCGCAGCAAGAAGCGATCGTGAAGACATGGTTTTTAGGAATAGAAAGAAAAAGAAGAGAACCAAGTCCTCAATGTTCCTCTGGTTTCTCTAAAGCCATATTACTTCTATTTATCTATAGTGGTCTCGTGCTTCTGTAGCTATAATTACCAAGAGCATGTACCATTTTGCATTGCAACAATCCAACTACCCACTATTTTCCCTCCAACAGAAACGCAGTGCTCACGTCACATAGGGCTAGTGGCTTGTAACATCAGCCTATTCATAACTTAATTCCCCCTCTACTCAGCAACAACCATGCGGGGAACACGGTGGATACGCATGATAGCGCCGGAATAAATGAACAAGCTTTGCCAAAAGCCGGTAAAGCAAACACAAGACAAAGCGGATCAAAGCTTGGTAACGTGCATCGGCAGTCTGATGGGCCGATGTACCCCAGGCGAACCAGCATTACCAAGGGCAATCTACCCAATCACGCTACACACCTGACAGGTACAACATTGCCACGTGAACTGCGGGCTGCAAACACCCTTTACTGGATTTGGGAGGCGCTCAACATAGACTTATTGATTGTTCGTTCTAGTCTACACCCTCCGAGCACTACGAAATTCCCACCAGTCGAAACCAGACCCATCTGTACATACGTAATCCCCATAAGCACCGCGGCAAATTCTCATCCACAAACAAAGACAACACACGCATTCATGCTTCATTGCCCCTGACCTTAGTTTTGGTGAATGGAAGAATTACCGACATGCTCTCCCGTTAAAGTTTTTTTTTTGCTTTTTCGTATTTGCCCAAAACTTAGTTGGGAGGACAAAGGGCCGAAGTCTCTTTTATTAGCACCAAAACGAGTAAACTTCGGGTACCGAGAATGCGAACACCCCCAAGCCATGCCCAATAGACGCCGTGTGGCGCCATTGATTTCCTGCAATGGATGGTAAAGGACTCACAATAATAGGTCGTCTTCGGCTGGTTTTATTTAAGGGGCTGTGTACGTCTTCGTTACTTGAACGAGGTGATGCGGATGACAGACGGGTGCGGCCAAAATTCTCGGCGCAATGCGTGTGTATGTAGTACGTGTTCATGACGGATGAGTTTATCTCGACACCTGTCGAGGGATATGTGTGTATCCTGTATTTGATCATGTGGGCGTTATGGACAATAAAGAGTCTAGATGGCAGCTGCCCAATAATCTTTATCTGGTGAGTCAGGATTCAGGCTGGCTGTAGGACATCTTGGACCTGAAACATGTGTCCATGAGGTGCGTACCGAGGTACGTATGTGTGGGTCCCTCTGTGTATCTCGTGCCTTTACGCATTACGCGGAAGTCTCGGCCACCACCTTTGTCGTCTTCCCATAGTATATTGCATATATTGGCTAGACTGTCGTCATTCTTTCGGAACGAATTCCACTTTCGTTGCGCTTACTATGGCATAATATCGGACCGTGGCTTGTGATCACGGTATGTTGAGACTCCTCAGCTTCCATGGTGCAAAACTATCATTCGAGTATTACCATGTTAACAATAGTAGTGTGTTGTAGCCACAACAGTGTGCAAACTTCATTAAATGCACAACGACAGAATTCCATGCAATCAATGCTGGATAGATTAATTTGTTTTGCTCTACCGCTGTCATACCCAACTACCGGAATTTCTTATTCGATCGTCGGTCGGCGTAGCTCGTGCAGGTCCCGATGGTGGAAGCGGCATATGATTGTCGTGAAAAGACTTGTATGGGCTCGCTGGACCATCGCGCGATACCACAGGTTCGCTCTTTAGCTCCACTTGGCTGGTCAAGGTGATTGTCATGTCCCGGCCCTTGTTTGTCGCCGAGTAGTTTGGCCGAAGTTTTTGTAGCCAGCACATCATGCCACTCTTTGGCCTTTCCTCTTCTTTGGGAACCGTCTCTTCGTTGCCTCTTTCTAAATCGGTGTCCATCCTTCCTGGTGTCGCATCTTCCCAATTTTTCATCTCGTAACTATGACCTTTGTCATGCATGAGCTCTGGTACGCTTTGGGGAGCGGTGGATCTTCGTTTTGACATGAAGGCTGCTGATTGACCGGCCGTAAGTGTTTTGGAGGTGCCGAGTGACGATTTCTTGAAAGATAGGCCTCCTGTCAGCGCTCCGGACAGACTCCAGGGTATCTTGGCGAGCAGTGGCTTGAGGACGGGAGCTGACGCGCACATCTATTCATGATTAGCTTTGTACAGAGATTTGACCAAGCGTGCTTACCACTCCCAGATCAATCTCTACGGCAGCTGCAATCCATAATGGATACGCATACCATGTTTGATCCCATTCGTTGAAAAGACTTCGATATATGAACCAGGTTCGCACGATACCGGCAGCAGTCACTATGAAGCCCATGCCAAAGAAAAAAGCCACGGCGAGACGTTGATGGAGAGGCATTTGTAGCTTGGAGATCTTAGCATCTATCGCGCTACACTTGCGGACTGAAACTTACGCGCAGCACCAAAGGAATAGGTGTCACTGTCGTCAGAAGATCTGCAACACAGTTGATTATTCCAACAATTAGAGTTACACTTGCTTCATCCAAGCAGGTCTCTGGTGGCGCGCCAAGAGTCCAGTAATTTCTGACGGGCACGCAAAGAAATATCGCGATGAAGATAAATGATATAAAGATGCCGATTGTGTAGAAAACATTAAAGTGGACCAGCCACCTGAACCATCTAAAGCAAATGGGGTATTAGTATGTGTACTTGGCACATGAAGCATATTACAACTAGTAATGACTCACAATTTCCCAGAATCAGAGACCAGACGGTAGTAGAAGCAGTGGAGAGAGAGTCTTGTGAAGGTTGCTGCCGCTGTGAAGATTACCTTGGCCGCCATGGCGATTTTGTATGTTGGAACAAACTTGGAAACTGGTATGTCCCAAACATGTCTATAGCGGTCAAGTCAGAAAGTGTTTCTTGAGGCGCTCATTCATGCGAATCGCTTACCTATCCCATCCGTACGATTTGTTCGCCAAGAGGACAATAATTGTGAGGCCCACTGCGAACAACTACACTGTGTCAAATAAGAATGGGGCTGCGAGAGAAGACTGCTTACAAGCGCGAGCAAGATGAAGACGTCGTCGACGCCAAACCATCTTTTGATTACAATTCGTGTATATAGTCGCGCGGCGACAATCAGGAATGTTAGTGCTATGAAGATCGAGTTGACTATGACAAGGGCTGGCCCTCGCGTTACTGGGTCGTGATAGTTGGGGGCTGGCCAGCTCAGTATGACTGACAGTGGCGGCAGCTGCATCCTGGATTATTGAAGACCGGATGGAACGTGCATGCAAGGCATCCAGGCACAACGGTACCTATAGGCTGCGGTCTGGGGATACGATCGGTCGCGAAGAAGAGAACAAAAACCAGGGAAAACAAGTAGCCCTGGGATCCAGGCCTCAGTATTATGTTGGTTGGCTTGCTGACTGGCCGGGTTTCAAGCATGGCATATGGGTCCGTTGTTAGCTGCGGCGCACACAGGAGCACAGACTGCAGTCGGGGAAACAGTGTCACATAGCATGTGGAGCTCGCGTGGCACTTGGACTCGCAGGGCGCCCGATTGGGGTCGTATTTAAGGAAAAACTCTCCGCATATGATGAAACTGGATGACGAGACGCGCTTCCTTGTCAGTAGATTCGATGCTTCTTTTTTCTCGATCTGATGCCGCTGCTCAGTAGACTTTCAAGTGTTTTGACTTGACTGTATGTACTTGCTATAGCTAGACCTATGAGAAAGAGACGTCATGTTGCTGATCTGCCGTGATTCCATCGACCTGAGGCCACACTATCCACAGCACACCCCACGGATATGTGGGCAATCCCAATGCAGAAACATCCGAACCTATCTGAACGTTCTCATTGGCCCCGGAGAAGCTTTTGTCACCGCTACTGGGTGCAAGACAGGTACAGTTGGCATAGGTAGGAGCGCCCTCGAATTTTATTTGCGAGAGCCGGCCAGCAGCGGCGAAGCCATCTGAAATCGTGAAACTACGGAGGATATGTACCGGATTTCTCGAAACGTTATTCTCACAAGCTGGTGGAGCGAATAGATAGAGGAGGGTAAAATGTCGAACAATAGGAACATGCCTCTGGCCAAGCCACAAGCGTTGGAGGTGCTGGATCAGGCCCCGCACTACTACTAAAGCCGGTTAGCCGGAACCCTGCAGCGATCTACAAGCTGTGCGCCAATCGCCGTCGCAATCTACAAACTCTAAATCCTTGCCAAACTTTAATGCAAGGGACTGTCCAATCTGGCCGGCAAACATGCTAGTTCTCGGACTCTAGCTCGGCCCCCTCAACCGCCCTGACCAAACATCGAGGTGGGCCACCAAGTTCATGACTCTTTTCCGCCTCACAGCAGCAGTTCCCAGCTTTGTATCGGAATGTCATCCATCAAGACCATTGCCATGGTACGGGGCACAGGCTCAAAGTCACTACGTTGTCGTGTCCCCGATGTCCCGTCGACACGAATATCCAAGAATCTAGTCGGAGCTCTGACAATCCATCTCCGGAATGCCCAGATACTGCGGATCAAATGTTACTTGAAGAGGTAGCCAGCGCTGCCATGTTCTGATTGGGCATGTCTAAAAAGGTGGGACATGGCAGTCTTTGCTATTCTGGGACGATCATTCCTGTTGCTGTATTCATATTCAATCGGCATCTTTGCCGTGTATCACCAAGGTTTGTGGCTTGGTGACGACTCAAGTCCATCCTTGTTTAGTATACCAGGCTCCAATAGCACATCGCTAGCTGCAACCTTCCAATGCCCCAGCGCCAGATCTAAGCTGTGGCGCACTGAGTATACGACATTTAAGCTATGCGCAAAACAGAGCACGGCCATGTGTCCGTAGCCTCGGGCACTATATATGGGAGGAGAATTGCGAATATCTCCGTTCTTGCAACTATCGAACCATCGATCGGTCACTGGCGTTGCGACGCCATCGACTGAACCCCCAGCCACATTTCTAGTCACCGGTAAAAGATGCCACGCGCTATCACCACTGCTCTTAGTGTTTCGAGGCCTTATGCCGAGTCTTGCCCGTTCCATTGCGGGACTTCGATTTCTGTAACTGCATACTATCTTCTCTGCTGGTCTACGAACAAGCTGCATCCCCCCTCGTGCCCATCAACTAGACCATTCCCAACGGGGGATCAGCACTCAGCCACATCCACCATGACGGGCGGTCCCTTGAGACACGTGGGTTTTGTGTAAAAAGCGAACGGGTGTGTAGGAGCATTCGTGTCATTTGAAAGACATTGCCAGATCAGGCCCAAGAGTAGTCACATGTTTCGTGACCGAGACAAGCTTAGCACTACCGCTCTGGACACATGGCTGTCGCATGGACATTAGGAATTATGAACGCAAGACATCTGATTACTAAATCCCTGCTGCAACTGCCGGACTCAAATGGCTTGCATCTTGGGCGTCCACCAAACTGGTTCAATCGTGGCTTGCGCGAACACCATTACTAGCTCACGGCAAAACAGCGGCACTTGAGAAAAAACAAACATGGACACTAAAACGGCCACAACTCAACATTGAATATGCATTCCTGGGCTGGAAGTCCAGCCACAAAGCACTCGGCGTTTGGAATCGACTTCTCCAACTCAAACGGCAAGCAACACAAATGGCCGAGCCAAGTCCATTACTTAATTGTAGGATCATACATCTCATGCACATCTCCACTCACGAAAACGCTCAGATAGAAAGAAAACCGGAGACTCGAGCACGTTCCACTTTTGACAACAAGCAACTCCCCAGTCCACAGCATCGCGCATCGATGCAAGCTAGAAACATTTGGCTTCCATCCGCGATTACCAGCCCTAGGCATGCATGCAGCCGCTGTAAGAGAAGAAAATTACGCAAACCACCCCCACCACCACCAACCATCATCACCAAGGCAAAAAAAAAAGGGGGGGGGGAGGGTATGACATGTCGCATCATGTGTTGCATGTAAAAAGACTTATCAGTCTATAGTAAGACAAGGGGAAAATAATCCAGTGACAAGCTTTCAGATAAATAAATCAACCAATCAATCAAGCACAAACCGATAAAGGAAAGTATTCCACAGAGAGACTGACATTTTTTTTCCCACCCGGTCCTCAGCTTACACGGAACACTAGTTCCGGTCCAATCTACACGCCTGCGCCCTTTCCCCCCNNNNCCCCTTCTCCCCCCTCTCCGCCCCAAAAATCGCAGGCTCCACTCCGCGTCGCGTGCTCCCCAAAGCCCGCCCGAGATTCAAGTCGGAGATTTCTCTCCGTTTTTTTTTGGTCGCCAAGGTATGGGCGGGACGGAGATTTTACTTTTTTTCGTTCTAGACTCGAGTTCGGGTAGAGGCTGGGATTGCGTTTGAGGAGGGTCTAGTGTGTGTATGTGTGTGTGTGAGAAAGAGAGAGGGAGAGAGAAGAATGTCAAATACAGTGCCTTGGAGCTTGTATGAATAGGTGCGTGTGTCTGGCATACTGGGATTCTGCTTGGTCTCGATATACTTGGCGGAAACTGTATTCTCTACGAGATTGATTTGTTTTCTTTTATATAAAGATATCTTCGGATGGTTTGTGCTTTGTAGGGATGAATCCTGGACAGAAAGCATTATTACAAGTGTTTGTTTGCTCTGAGAAAAAAAATTATTGTTAATTTGTATCCATTGGAATCAAACTTTGGGTTAACAGCTTGGAGTGACGGAGTTTTTATCTTCTCAAGCCTGTATTATGTATGTATCACGTCAACATGCAAAGTAAAGTAAACAAGAAACGCGCAACGAATCTGCCAACGTACTTGGGTCTGTATTCGAAAGCAATGTGAGATATTTCATAAACCTCGCATTCTTTTGAGAATGTCGGCGTTCATGGGAAGGGTGCAGCTTCGAGCAATGGTGTGCAAAAGTCAACTTCTCCAACGATGATCAAACCAGCAAGAGGATTTGGGTAGTTCTCCTCCTCTGAAAAAAAAAAGTCTGCTATATTGGACATGGCTAAAGAGCCGTCAATGGTGAAATCGCTTTCTAGAGTATAGAGCCTCTGGTCATGCCATGTTTGATCTATGTGCCTCCAGACTGACTGCCCCGCAAATGGTTCCAGTGCGTGTAGATGTATAAGCATCGATTGAAGCACTACAACAAGGTCTGTGGTATGGCGAAGGCAAGAGCTAGAGATCCTCTCACCTATACGCATCATGACCTTGAGGTGGTCATCATTCAATGCGTCAGCTATACACATTGCCGTCTGCATTGCACACTGGCATAGGCTTGTGTGGATATAGATGATGCCGCATGGAAGCATTTGGTTGATTCGACGGGTGGCAACTTCTTGTATTTCGTATGAACTCTGTTGCAGGCCCTCGAATAACTCGACATAGTTGTCAGGCTGGAAATTCTCGGATTTCGCCGATTTCGGAAACAGAGAGCGCAATGACTCTGGGATGTTGGAGTGGAACCTGTCTTCAAATAGACTGGGTAGCCTCTCGAGCTGACACAATGCTTGGACAAGGCGTTGGTGATGCAATGTTCCGGCATTCAGGTGTGTTGATAAAGTATAATGACTTCTTGGTGTCCAGGTGGTTTAATTTCCATATCAGACTCAGGTCTTGCTACAATATAGTTTTGCCTTATAATCTACTGGAATAAACTTCTTGAGAATACTGCTTGAGTTTCCTCACAACAGTAGTTGTGTTCTTTCAAAGTCCAGCCTAATGACAAGGTAGCTGAAACCCTTCTCCATGTTTCTTCCTTGGGAAAAAGTCTCGAAGCATTCGATGCAAAGTGTTGAATAGCGTTGCCAGTACAACGGCACTGAGTGTCAGACTGCCAACACGAGTCTTGCACGTACGTAGTGTAATGCTCACTCTTTCACATTGAGTATGCGCATAGCAAACAGTATACCTAGCTAGATTAGAAGGTACCTTTGCAAAGAACCAGTCATATCCAGCATGCCATTGCGCAGAATATCTCGCTACTACATAGAAATGGACATCAATCACGGTTTCTCGTATGCAAAAAGAGAGAGAGAGAGAGAGAAATTCATGTCGAATGCAAGCGCTCACTATTGGAAAATAACAGACACATGTGGTAAATAATATGTTGTACTTGTTTCATTCATTCAGATTAGTCTTGTCATCGCATTAAAGTCGACCCAGCGACACAAGGCCAGTTTTCATTCATTCGATGCAAATTCTTAACACTTGGCAGTATAGTACATCTACTTTTGCGCCTCCTCTCTCTTTACTCTAAAGAATGCTAGCTTGGCAAAACGGCCCAACTGGCCCCAGTAGTGTCGACCGGCAGAGTGATCCATGATTCGCTCCAGTAGCTTGACGACTGCCATGCGGACATCCTGTCTGGGGTGGAAAAGACCGAGACTGAGGTAAAAGAGGCCGGCATCGGGTATAACGCAGAGCAGCTGGAGAACAGTGTCGTATTGTAGTTGGGCGTTTACTCTCCTTGCCGATTCATTGGTCATGTTAAGCGACTGTGCCATTGATGAGAGATCTGTTGACGAAGCGCTGGCGCTCTCGCTGGGTGAACCTGCTTCTTCCACACACCGCGCAAGTGCGATATAGATGGCTGCCGATTGGTCATGGGTGAGCTTCAGACATCGCAGTTTGTCGTGTTGATGGTGCATGTCGAGGCCGCGCACTGGCCTCTTGCCCCAGCCCTTTGCAAGATCCTGGATGTAGCTATAGTAACTTCTGGTGTTGCGCCAGCCTTCAATTCGATGAACGTTTGCTGCAAGTTCGCGGAGCTTGGAGCCTTCATCTGGCCAGACGTAGCCATGCCCAGACACACCATATGCACCGGTTTCCGTGTCATGGGCGCCAATATACAATGCTGATGCCCCGTAGACGGTTTCCTCAAAGGCGGCTGCGATGCGGGTGAATTTGAGCACCCACGAGCGCCATTTTGCCCGGATCGCGTTTTCTCCATGACGGTTGGCGATGCTTTCGAGAAGTTTGTCCATGAACTGATTGTCGCCGGTAGGATCGATACCACCGCCTTTACTGTCAAGGCCCGATTGTCCACCGAGCCCATTCAAAGGGAGGCCTTGCTGCTGGAAAAATAACGATCCCTCTGTGGGCGAGGCTGACTCTATTCGATTGCTAATCTTCATACGACCAGTAGGGAGGTCGCACAGAAGGTCCCACCACTCTGGCTTGTAGGAAAATGCAGGATTGGTGACGCCGGCGATGAAGCCAGGCACTTTGAGCAGGTCGTCTACCTTTGTAAGATCGGTGTATGGAAAGGCGTGTCGCACGAAGCCGCGCAGGATACCACCAGATGCCAGGGCGCATGCTGCCAGCACAGCCTCTGCGACTTCGCCTGAAGGGCGATTGTGTCCGATGAAGATGATGCGCTTCTGGGTCAAGAGAGCATTGACAAGGACAATGATTGGGTGCGTAAATGCGCCGCTCGTGGTTAGATGCGGGTGCAGGGCGAAGGGTTGCGGTTGTGTTGTGTGAGGGGTGGAGAAGGTCTGTATGAGCTTGATGAGGGAAAAGTCGCCTACGGTTTCCAGACTCAGGGAAGTTGGTATCTTGACAGGCACGGGTATGCCATTGTAATCGATTTTTGACTCAAACTCGTGCGTGTCCCGGGGAATGGTATACACCTTCTTCTTGGATTGAGGATCCGATGCAGTTTCGTCCGCCTCTTTTGCAGCATCCTGCTTCTTCCTGTGGCGGACCATGAGTTCAAATTTCTCTACGAACATGTCCTTTGCGTCGCTGGCGCCCAGCACAAAGCCCTCAAGGTGAGAGAGTTTTGGCAAGAGTGACAGATCCATGGAATTGAGGGCATTGTAGAGCGAGGCCAGTGTTTCTAGGACAGGCGCTCTGAAGTACTCCTCGAGAGCCAACAGCAACAGGGGCTTGTATATGTGCAGAAAAGGATGGCGAGTGCATATGGCCATGGCTTTCACAATGGCACCTCTGTGCAGAGTCAGTGTCTGGTAAACTTGTTTGTTGCAAGTTGTTGGGGCCGCGTTACCTCTTCACAGTGTTGTCCTGCTTGGTATTGACCAGATTCAGGACGTAGACCAAGGGTGGCCCGTCTGGATCTGGCCCGCCCTCGCTTTCTGTGTCGTCGCCGTCGTCGTCGTCGTCGTCTTCATTTTGGTTGTCATCATCGGCCTCGGGTCGGTTGTCGCTGTCGCGGTCCTTGGGCTCTTCGGCGGGGGCCGTCGCATTGTCATTGTCGGCTTCCAGGCCGTCTTTGCGCCGCTTCCTGCGTCGCCTGCGCTCTCTCCGTGCCTCGCGCTCCTCCTCGTCGGCGGTGGTGTCCTTGTGCAGAAAGAAAATGGTCCAATCCTGGCTCCGGACGTGGGCCTGGTCGGGCAGCATGAGCTCGGCTAACATGGTCTCGTCACCGCTTATGGCGGCGGGATACTGGTGCTCCATGATGGAGCCGCGGTCAATGTCAAACGAGGCGACGAGTATGTACTCGACATGGTTCTCGACGGCGTCGGCGGGATACTGGGGGCGCAGCTTCATGCCAGCCCTTGGGTGGGACATGGCGGAGAGGTGGCGGAAGGGGTCGTCGCGCTCCGACTGGGTTGAGTCGTTCTCCTCGCCCTCGCGCAGCATGGGGGGCTGCGGGGAGCGGGATTTGGGGTAGTGGCCATTGCGGGTAGATGGCGAGCGCGAGGGCGGGAAGGAGGAGAAGGAAGGCTGGCGTTGCAGCGTGACGGGCTGGGCAGGACTGGGGGCGCCTGGCCGCTGTGATATGACTTGGGCCATGGGTGCGTGTTCTCCCTCTGCTGTACTGCTGTGTACGGGGCCGTGGCTGGTCGCATTCGCTATACAAGTACAGGCGCTAGCGTTAGGGGGGCCGATGCCACAGATGGTCCGAAACCAAACTCACCCTCACCACCATGGCCGCAGCCAGTCGGGGCGAGGGAGAGGGCGAGGGGGACACGAGGGCCAAGTGCATCTGCTGGGGGGGCGGCAGGCTTATCGATTGCCTAGTCAGCCCCCCAACCCACGCCCGGCCTGGTTGCTGGGCCACGCCGCCGCCGCCGCAAAACACCAGCCACGGTCAACAAGCGCCGTCACCACCACCACCACCACCACCATGCGACGACGTTAGCATCCTGCTGTAGCCACGCCCTCGCACCCCCGACACAGACACCGACACCGACACAGACACCGACACCGACACAGACACAGACACAGACACACGCACCTCGCACGCGCCCATGGACTCGCCCACGCCCACGCCCACGCCCTACAAGCCCTCGCCGCTGTCCTTCAACAACGCCCGCCAATCGCCCTTCCGCCGCCCGGGCTCCATCAGAGAGGCCTCGCCTTCCACCCTCCGGCCCTCGACCCCAAGCAGCTCTCCGCTCAAGCCCAAGGACACGACCACTGCCCCTGCTGCTGCTACCGGTCCCGCATCGCAGAACCCTCCGCCCTGGCTGCACACGCGCACACGATCAGGCACGCCCGAACCGCCTGCTTCGCCCGGCCGCCATGTCTCGCCCACGCGCAATGCACCGCCGCCCACGGCCCAAGGCACCGGACGCCCTCTGAGCACCGCGTCCATTGCTGCCATGTTCGAGGGCGCCGCCAAGGACGACACGCCCGCTCCTCTTTCCTTCCGCAAGCAGTCGCCGCCGGCTGGCCCTGTCAAGCCCGTCGAGAGGCCAATTGAGAAGCCAGTAGAGGTCCATGTAGACCGCTTCGCCCACCTCTCGCCCGTGCCCTCGCCCGCACGCTCGCCTGCACGCTCGCGCGAGCCTTCACCCGGCCGCCTGGCAGCCCGGCCACCGACCATCCGGCGCATGGCTTCGAGTGACGCCCTTGCCAAGCTGCCCCCGCCCCTCCTACACAGCATGCGAGAGTCCTTCAGCGTCATGGACCGCGACGACGATGGCCATGTAAATGCTGCAGATGTGGCTGATATGCTGTCCCAGCTCGGGCTCTCCGCCACGCCGTCCCAGCTCTCGACATACTTCAACGGCGCACAATCCATCAACCTGGCCAACTACCTCACAACCCTATCCGATCTGCTGGCCAACCTCTCGCACCAGAGCGAGCTGAGCGCAGCCTTTGAGGCATTTGACGACAACGACGATGGCCAGATTGACTTGGCAGAGCTGAAAGATGCCCTGCTGCACACGGCGCCGCAGCCAGGAGAAACGCTGCTTACCGAACGGGAGATCAACATGGTAGTCGAGGGCTTCAGTGGGCGCAGAGCCTTTGGAAAGGGGGGCAAAGGTCTGGGCAGAGGCGAGGTGTTTCGATATCACGATTTCCTAGCAAATCTGACTGGCGGAGGCAATGGCGCAGACAATACCCAAGGCGCCGCGGCGTCAGCCTAGTGTGTTTGTAAGATGCATTTGCTGCATTCCCTCACGCCTCGAGTTTACGGCGTTGTATCATGTTACGGAATGAATGTTGACGGCCTGGTGCCTGTGGCTGGTAGGACGGCATGGGATTGACATGCACAAAATACATATTATTATTAATAAATGGAATGCAATCGGAGCCAGGCCACAAAAGGCCATCTGTCTTGGACTATGGCTTAGCGTAATGAGGATTGCCTTGTGAAGAGTGTTGCTGACGAAAAGGTGGGAAAGCCAGTTGGGACAATGGGAAGGCTCCTTCTGTCTGTCAGTGAGGCTCCATGCACACATCTGGGGACCCTGGTCTTTGTCAAAAGTCGGTGACAGCAGTGTGAGCAATCATTCGAACGTCTACCCGTTTTACTTTTTCCTACGAGACCGGATGAGATGCATTCGTAGCACGGGCATGTGAGCGGAGCTGTCGGTGAGATTGCGTGGCATCGTGTCTTGCCCGTCGCAATGGCATGCCGTCATGGTGCGTGTGCCGGGCACGAGTCAAGAGCGGCCAAGCATGGGGGGAAAGAATGGAGACGAAAACGTGGCCCACTGACTAGAAGCTGTTACCGTGGGTTCGCCGTGGTGTCGTGAACCCTGTTGTTGCTGTGTTGTCACGACGGGCGGTGGGCATTTCGATTGGAGGGCGGGGCACGTGATGTACAACACATTGGCGCAGATTGGGCAGCTCCGTAAATCGCCATCCACTCGTTCGCAAATCTGTGCAAATAGTGTCGCGGTGGCCCTTGAAGCGGCTAGCAGTAGTGAGCTGGTCGGGAAAAGTCACAGGTGTAGTCGCATCTAGCACCCTCATTGGGCCCGTTTGCTGCAGCACAGACATCGTTCGCGCGCTGCAAGAGCGATTGCAGAGCTCCCAGCATTTTATATCTACCACTCGGCCCCTCGTCGCCTCTGCCACTTCTCCGCATCCAAGATGAGTGGTCCTGGCGAGAATCGGTAGGTGCAGACCAACGCCCGCCCGCCCTGCTGCCACTATACTGACACATGCCTCACAGCTGGCGACGGCAGGGTCAAGCCAACCGCAACTCAGGCGCAAGCACCCCCACCAAGGACGCTGGTGGCCGCCCGCAGTCCATGGCCGCACCTGCGGGCAATGTCTGGGGAACCAAGCAGGCAAAAGCCTCGGGGCCTGGCCCGGCTGCACAAGCTCAGGCCCAGCCCGAGCACCATGTGCCTGTCAAGGACTTCAACGCCAACGAGGTCAAGGAATTCCTCAAGAAGAGTAGGTGCTCCAACATGTACAGCTCACGGCCCCAGGGCTAACCAGCGTGTAGAATACCTCGAGAGTACCGCCAGTACGAGCCACGTAGTCTTCCACGCACATGGCCTGGTAGTGCTAACATCAGCCTTATAGACCAGCCAGCGGTATATCACAAGGTCCCGGGTGACTCGGTGTCGAACAGGAGCAGCGGAGCATGGGGCAAAGGCGGTGAGGCGCTTATGTGTAGCAAGTGTTTGCGGACGTGGAATACTGATTCGACGCGCAGGCACCATGCCGCATCTCATGACGACGGGGCAAGACTTCTTCACGCAGCTCAAGAAGCAGCTGGCGACGCTGGACCAGACCAAAGCAGCGCAGTAGCTGCAAACAGGCCATGATTGTTTCAGCGGCATTCGGGTAGGCATTGCAGGCGTTCTTGGGCATGGGTTTCTGGGCGGCTACATGGCAGCACCTTGCAGGAGCATGGTACGGCTTTGAGGGCGGGGGGGAAAAGGCGTTTGGGGGCCTGCGAAGGTACATGTTGTCCGGGGCCCAGCATCGTGGTGGGCGATGGCCATGTGGTCGACGACAGGGTCATGGGATTTTGTATGTATGTATGTATGTATGTATGTATGTATGCTATAGAGATGCACGCAGGGACCGGGCAGCTGCATCCAAGGGCTTGACATGGACATTTTTGCAGAATCAGAGGGTCAAGTGAGGCGTATAGTGCTGTGGGCGTGGTTGGGTATGACAAGGATACCCATACCTTCTCTCCTTTGCGAGCGACCGTCGTTTTCTGACAGGCCAATCCCGAGCAGGCAGGGCAGCAAGCGGCAACCAAACACTGTGCGAGGGGACCTGCTGTGCAACCACATCGGCTTTGTTGGACGACTGTCTATCACGCTTGCGCCTCTTCTCCCGCTCTGCACTCGCACACATACAGACACAGACACTGTCCCGCCAAGTGCCGCCAGTGGCCATCCATCCAGCCCCCCTCGCAGCACCGCCGGTACCTTGCATCGAGGCTGCAGTTGCGCAACCACCGCCGAGCCCGCAACCTCAGCTTTAGGGGTACCAGTCACTTGTCCACACGCCGCTACCCCGCCACGCACACTCTCCTTTTGCGACTCCTGCCCAGCACGCGCCGCCGTTGCTTGCACGAGGTTGGGCCACATCGAGCCCGAGGCTGCCAGTGCTGCGCGACAGAGGCGCATTGCGCTCCTTGGTCACGCTCGCTTGATCCCCGATTGGGCTCTCCTAATGCCGTCCGCCTGTCCTTGACCAGCGACTTCACGATCCTCGGACGCGTTCGGCGCATTCCCATCTGGCCCTTGATCCACCCACCCGGAGCGCCATGTCCTCTCCACCAGACACACCCGCTCACCCTCCTCTATCCTCGCACCGCCGACACCCCGACAGCCTGGACATGTCCCACAACAACGCTTCCAGGCGCCAATCCTTCAACCGACGCTCTTCCGGCTACTCGCCCATAACCCCGCGCTCGTCGCACGACTTTGACGACGCCTCTGCACACAACTTCGACGGCCCCATAGACGGCAATGGCCTCGGAAACCTGGCCGACGAGCTGGGCGAGATATGGGACGACGATGACGAGGCCATAGACGGCGACTACGCTGACGACATAGACGAGTCGCACGGCGACCTCGCTGCCATCGGCACTGCCGTCGAGCACGACGGTTCCTACGGCGTCGACAGCGTAGCCAGTATCAACGGCGTGCGTGACAGTGGCGTGGCCATGCAAGACTCTCCTCCCACCGGTCTCAGCCCAGCCTCGGCTGCAAAGTCAAAAAAGCATAACAGACAACGATCGCTGTACGACGGCTCCGACTATGGCGACGACTCCGACCTGGACAACGAGGGCATATCACCGGCGCTCGAGTCGAGAATGGCAGCTATCGAAAGCCTGGCACGGCGGGGCATGGAAGAGAATGGCAGCCCGTCAGACGAGGTGGTCAAGCGAGTGACGGAGCAACTACGAGACTTGGGCAGTCAGATCGCTATAGAGAACGGATCCACAAGGTAGCTTTGTCCCTTTTCCCTTTTGGATGATTTATGCTAACAGAAGGAAAAAAAACAGGCTTAAAACAGCTCACGATGCTCTCACAACACATCTAACCCACCAGTCCCGTACCCTAACATCTCTAGCCGCCTCCTTCTCAGGCCCACGACCTATCTTGCCCGACCCAGACACTATCGAGGAACTCTTGCCAATCATACAATCAACCCTGGACTTGCTACCCCATTCCGACGCTGAGCCACTCGTCGCCCTCTCCCATCTCACACACTCGAGCCGCGAGCTCCTGCAACATCTCGCAAATGTCAGCGACACGCTACACATGTCCCGGCAAACCACCATGAACGCCACCCGTAGGCTCAAAGTCAGCAAAGAACAATTACAGGACTGGAAACGCGACAATGAACGAACAAAGGAGGCACAGGAGTACATTGAACATGGAGACTGGGACCGGCGGCTCAAAGAGAGGGAAGCCAAACGTGCATGTGCAGACGTGCTGGATGGATTCGAGGATGTTTGTGGACAATGGAGAAAGAGGCTTTGCGATGGCCTGGGCGCGACTTCTGGGTAGAATTCGCCTTGCGCACCTTGCTAGTAATTTTCTCTTCTTCCTCTTCTCTACTCGACACTTGCGGCGAGGTTTCGCTGAAGAAAAAAAAAGAATAAGACTGATATAGAGTCTGTGGCATCTTTAATGGCGATGCGAATCAAGAATATTCGACAAAGCATCTCGGCACTACACTACGGGACTTTTCATGTTTCCCCATGCTAGGGAAACGAAATTGGGGCATCCCTGGTGGATTATACTAGACGGCTCGTAGTTCTTTCTTTTTGTTTCTTTTGTTTGGGAACAACAAGTGGATTTTTTTTCTCTGTTGTTTATCCGCCTGCCCTTTTCTTTTCCTTTTGTTTACAAATTTCATATGTACATTTTTTTTTCTTGCATCGTCATGGTCGTATGGTGTTTTTTTGGGATGGCATTTGATAGATGGAACCTTGGTAATACCCCTCCCCATTTATACACTTGGCTTTCTGAGGACAAGCATGTAGTAGTAAATATTGTCAATCGTTTGGTAGATGAGAGAATGAAAGGCAGTACAAACTGAAGGACATTGGTGATGTAACATGTGATGATGGGGACGAACAAAGGTACCAGGAGTAACTACCGAGAAAAACTAACAGTACATGTATGGACGTGTGTATCCAGGTTCTAGGCAAGCTTCTGGGCTGACCTCACATCGCTTACCCCAGTTCCTTGCACAATCTTTGCCTCGACAACTCCGTACACGGGTATCTCCTGTAACCTCTCGACAATGTGGTGTAGTGTGGGTAGTGCCTTCCAGTCAAGTGCGTCAAACGCAATCTCGGCCGTCGAGGCAGTAAGCGTCTGCTCAATCTTTTTCTCCACCGTCTTGCTGTCCTCATCGCCAGGCAGGAATGCAGTGTACTCGACATCTGCCTGTCCGCGCTGCTTGCTACCCGCACTCGCAGTAGCGGGTATGTATTTATGAAATAGCAGGCCATCGTCTCTAGGAGGTGCTGACTGGACAGCCGGAGCCTCACCGTTTGCAGTACCTGCTGGTTGTAACCCGGAGAGCTTCATGGAGCAGAATTTCGACGACATCCAACTCGCGTCCAACACGCACTTGTCGTCGGCCCTGCTCACCTCGAGATCAGCAAATACCTTGGGAAACCCAAGTTCCTCCCTCCCACTCAAAATCGGATCCGCAAGGTTCTCAAACAGCACGGGCAAATACGTGCCCACGACCGTCTCCCCATCCTCCTTGACATACTCAACACCATGCACATACAGCCCAAAGTGACTGTACCCTCGTCCGCCCAACCACTCGAGATTTCCCAGCTGCGTAACTGCAAAGGTAGCATACGCCGTCGTATCCTCAATAGCAAACTTGAACTTGCCAGTCTGCGGCAGCAAGTTCTCCAACACGGTCCTACTCGTCCTCACCTTGACACTCGCCGTTGAAAACGTCGCCGCAGTGCCATCCCTCTGCCTCCCATAAAAGTCCTGGCGCGGACCCGGCATAGGCCCAAACACCGTCGGCATTCGCCACAGTAGACTTTTGTTATTCTCCCACTCCCACTTCCGCAGCATCTGGCTCGAATAGTGCCATTCGTCGTGGCCAAAATTGTAGTCTGTGAATCTTGATACGTCGAGGTGTGGACCCGTGCCTAGGTCGTGGCCCGCGACACGTGAGTATTCTTGGATTTTGCTCGCGCGGTCGTAGCGGCAGCGCTCGTACAGTTTGAGCCGGGAGGGAATGGAAGAGAGGGGGACACCTAGGGGAAGCATGACGGCGAGGGAGGCCGCGTCTTCGATTGCTTGGCCTGCGCCTTGGCCTTGGTCTGATTATTGTCAAAAAAAATCGTGTTAGTTTCTGTTCGTTTTACTTTTTTCATTCTTCATAAAAGAGAGGGGGAGGGGGAGGGTGTTTGTGAATGATAAATTGAACTTACGCGGAGTAAAAGGATGAGCGGCATCACCTATCAAGACCAACTTCCCTTCTGTCCAAGTAGGCAACTGCTCCATATCCAGCAACTCCCACACCTTGAGTGTCTCTTCATCCGCCATAGCCAGCAGCTTGAGCACCGCCGGCTCAAAATCCTTGTACACCTCGAGCATCTTGTCCAGATTTCCCTTCTTCTGCCAATCGCTGTTCCCAGGCCCTTGCGCATCAATCTGGCTCTCAGACGTAGGATGTATGCACACGAAATTCAGAAGCGTATTGTCAGACGTTGGGTACACGACTACTCGCCTATCGCGAGCAAAGATCATGACCAGATGGCCTTCTTTGTCGGCAAACTTGCGCGTATCCGGGTCGGCTAAGGCTTTTTGGCGGGGGAAGAGGAAGCGGAATGCGCTCTTGCCACTACCAAAGGTCTTGATGTTTTCTGCGCCTGGAATGCGTAGGCGGGTTTTGGAATGGACGCCGTCTGCGCCGACGATGAGGTCGCCTTGGATTCTTTCGCCGCTCTCCAGCACAACAGTGCCTTCTTTGGGGTCCACATCGACAACTTTGGAGCGGAGCTTGAGCACGGCTGGCTTGCCTGGTCCTTCTTCGCTGGTAGCGATTCGCCTCAGTTCGCTGTGCAGACTCACGCGGTGGGCGAGTTGCCAGGGGTGCTGCCACCGTCCTGCGCTTTCTTCAAGGTTTACATTGAAGAGTTCCCGGCCGTTGGGAAGCAACTGCGTCATCTGCTTGCACATGACCGCGCCTTGCGCTTCGGGAATCAGGCCTATACGTCGTAGAAGGCCATTAGCGTTGGGGGCGAGATGTACGGCAGCGCCGAGTTCGTTGGCGAAGCCCGAGGCTTCGACTACAGTCACCGTGTGGCCTCGTTGTCGGAGGAAGATTGCTGCACTCAGACCGCCGATGCCTGCTCCACATACTGTGATATTGAGAGGTCGCTGGGAGGCGTCGTCGTGTCCGTTGACACCATTGACACCATTTGTGGAGGTCCCGTTTGCGAAGTCCATAGTTAGGGGGCGCAAAGATACACTGGACGAAAAGAAGACAACGAAGCGGCAGTAACTAGCACTGAAAGTATGGTAGTTAGTGAAATAAGAATTAATACAAAGGATCGGAATAAAGGCCAGCGAAAATTGGTCTTAATTCCCGCTTTTTGCTGTTAGCCACATCATGGTCACACCAAGGTTCGGTTCGTGGAAATAGATCCTCCCCCCCCCCCCTTCCTCCCCTCCACTTCCCGGAATTAGGCTCCTCTGCAAATGAGCGCATGAACACATGTTTTTGGCATTCTTCCGCTTTAGGATATGTTGGATCTCGTGTCCGAATGGATGAGAGAACGTCGGCTGTTTAAATGGTGTATCTTTTGTGGCACACCGTGAGATTGGATTGCATTTGGGAAAATGCAGGTCAGCACGGAATGCATTCACTGCATCGAGGGGAAAGCTGTAGTAGGTTAGTTGGGGTCATCACTAAGCAGCTCGCCAGATGGAGTAGATTGCTTGTTTTCTATCTCAAGTGTGATGACGAGGAAATGTACAATGCGCATCACTTTCTCAACGACAAGTCTCTTATCTCTCTCTCTCTCTCTCACACACACACACACACGTGCATTGCCCTGATTTCCAACAGAACTAAATAAATCGAGACCCCTCAAACTCCCTGAATCTCCCAAAAGCCATTCAAAAAAAAACCCCCCTCACCACTCTCCACCAAGTTTATACCCAACATTCCACACGCGCCCCAGCGAATTCCTCCAAATCTTTGATATGGTCTATTAATCTCCTTGTTAGCCACCTCTCTCTCTCTCTGTGTGTGTGTGTGTGTGTGTGTTTCTCCCAAAACGGCACCAACCATCCTTCCCCCCCTTTCCCTCCCTCCCCTTGCCCTTCCACAACAAATAAAAGAAAAGAAAAAAAAAACACAGCAAAATTGCTTACCGACTCCAAAAACACACCCGTAAACATGACGCCCACAAACGTCTGCTCAAACCCATTCATATACACCCTCCTCTCACTCTGATCCAGCTGCGTATTCACGGGCCGGTACGCAGGAACACGACGATGCTGCGTGGGCCAATGACTTGGATTCTGCTGCGCATTTGCGGCTACGGGATTAGGATGCGCGTTTAGACTAGCATCGTGACCGCCTTCTGTGGTGTGGTGGAGATCGTAGTCTGCCAGGGTGGTGGCGAGGGTGTAGTGTGTTGGGTTTTCGGTGGTTGTTACGGACATTGTGGTTATGTTTCCTGCGGGATGGTGAGAGAGGGAAAAAAAAATGAAAGTGGAAATTGGTAGGGAGAGACGGCGTGTGGTTGTTTGTTCAGCGAAAGACACGGGTGAGAGGCGTAGATGTCGGCATTACCACATGCTCGTGTTCCGGCGCTGGGAAGACGCGGGCGAGACGGAGGGGGAGAATGTGGTGGGGCGATGGGGTTCGGAATGTGGGGGAGGGAGCATGGATGTGCGCACTTCGGTCCTTGTAAGTTGTCGTCCCATTGCATTGCCGTCGGGTTGGGTGGGAGATTGTACCGACGTGGACCGGGGATGTCTTGTCGCGCTTACATAGTAGTAGAAGAGATTGCTGCTTTCCTCCAGTCCTTGAAAGTTCTGTTGTGATTCTTTTCTTCTGTTCGGTTTTTGCAGTCTCATTATGTCGTCGTCGCCAATTACCCCCGAAGCCGCGCTGGAGATCCTCCAGGCCACGGCCCTTACAACACGCTGCCACAACGCCTTTTTTAGACAGAAGCAGCTCAAGTCGCTACATGATGCGCTGCGTAATAGCAGTGATGCTATCAGAAACGCTATCAAGCAGGACACACATGTATCAGACGAGGAAGCAACTACAGAGGTTGCAATCGTCCTCGACCTAGTCAAAGAGCACTATGCCTCCATTAATACCACAAAAGAGCTGGAAGCGGAGTACCGTATCACAAATGGCAAAGATGCCAGTGATAGGAGAGTACCGTGGGGTGTTGCATATATTGAGCCTCAAAAAAGCCATACGCCTTTCTTTTCTGTCCTGTCGCCTTTGAGCGCAGCTGTTGCAGCAGGTACCTGTGTAGCGCTCAAGGTAAGCATCACTCTTAGATCCTCCCCCCCCATCAATTCACAATTAACGACAAAAACAGCTTGAAAACAACCTCCGTACTCTCCCCTCTCTCCTCCGCAAACTCCTTACCGAAGCCCTCGAATCCGACACCTTCCTCATCATCTCATCCTCACCACCCGCCGACTCCCTCTCAACCTGCCTCCAAGTTCTCCAAGAGACGCAAGTCGCCCAACCAACATACTCGCAGCACATCTCCCCTCAGGGCAAAGTAATCGCAATAGTAGACCGCACCGCGGACCTTGCCACTGCGGCCTCACACCTCGTCACCGCCCGCTTCGCCTTCGGCGGCACATCTCCCTACGCCCCCGACATAATCCTTGTAAACGAATACATCAAAAAAGAGTTCCTCGAACACGTCCTGCAACTCTCCTTCCGCTACCTCGCTGGTTCCGGCTCTCTCGCCAACGGCGTCTCCCCCTCCAATAACGCCAGCAATCAAAAATCCTCGTCGTCGCGCATCTCCAGCGCCTTCTCCACGCTATCCTCGTCAAAAGCCTGGGACTTGACAACCATATCCCAAGGCGACAACGGCGCCATTGTCGAACTCGCAAATCTAGCTTCACTGCCTCCAAAATTCACACAACCCATTCTCGCAGTGTCGCCCATAACATCGCTCGAACACGCAATCAGCCTCGTAGAGCAAGATCTCGCCCCGCAGGAATCCCTGCTGGCAAGCTACCACTTCGGCACAAACTCAACGGCAAAGTACCTCTCTCAATTCGTGCCAGCGGCCGTGTCGTTTGCAAATGGTGTGCCGTTTTCGCTGCTGCTGGGTCCTGCTGCGCCGTCAAGCCAGGCGGGTCTCGACGTCGACAAGAGATATACAATTGAGCATTTTTTGCGCCTTGCGCCCGCTTATGTGACGCTGCCGTCGAATCAGAAGGTGCTGTTCAAGGTGCTGGGTGGCAAGGAAGGAGGGAAGGCGGCAAGTGATATGTTGAGCAAGGCGACGCAGGAGATCAAGGAGGCCAAGCGCAAGGAGTCGATTGCAATTGGATATTTTGAGCAGGGCATCCTTGTTGGCTTGGGAATTTACGGTATTCCGCTCCTCACATGTATTGGGGCGTCGTTGTTTTTTGGGGTTAGGGCTGGGCTGAGGAAGTTTGCGTTTATTTAAATGTCTTTTTTTCGTCTTTCTTCGATTGAGGGTATGAATGAGTGGGGGTGGATACGATTTGTAGATGTATCAATCGATTTCCTTGTGTTTACCCAGGTGAAAAGGAAAGGGTGAGTTGCTACGTGCGTTACTAACCAAGTCAGTTCATCACCTTGTATCGCACCGAGATCCAAAGTAAAATCAAAGCATTTTTCTTGCTCTCTATATTCTTCCTAATGTACACGGACATCGTCATGGATCATATGAGACCAGCCAATCAGCCTGCTTATATACGTGCATACATACAACGTGAATCGTACAAACCCATATTAAACATCTGACTGGCGTAAGAAGCCTAAACCAGCTCTCAATGAGGAACCCACTTCGCCGTCCAAATGCGCAGCCTCTTACCCCAGATAAGCATGGGAATAGTAAGCAAGCCGAAGATGCCCATGAGCATAGCAAAAATGCCAAACGGCTCTGCCGGACCATCGTGCGTGACCCACTCGCCGACGAAGAAGGTCCAGGCAAAGCTAATCACTGCACGTGCCGAGGTGATAGCGACGAAGCAGTCACCAGCAAGGGTGCCATATGCTTCAATGATATAGTTAAAGCCCACCGATGGCGCTTGCATGAGGCCGAAAGCGACGAGGCCGATTCCAAACTGCAGACCCACCCAGCCCGTCGACGAGGGGTTCTGCGCTACGAAGCCGAAGATGAGTGAGCCGATGGTGGCAGTGAAGAGGGCGGGGAGAGCGGTGACGAGACGGGATTCTGGTTCAGAGAAGCCGTGCAGGTCCTTCTTTGCGAGTCGTTTGGTTGCAAAATCAGCGACAAGGTAGGTGTATATCTGAAATACCCAGGGGAATTAGTGAATGTCCAGAGTAGAAAGGTTACTGAGGTTCAAAAGACTTACACAACCTAGGATAGCCCCAATGATGCCGCCAATGTTGATCAGTCCAACGCCCTTGCCCCAGAGATATGGGGGTTGGGCGACAATTTGAGGAGCTACCGTTGACAAAGTTACCTACATTCGAGTTAGTGGTGTCTATTTTTTTTTTGTTTGAATCTTTCAATATAGTCTTCACTCACAATCAGTCCGACGAGTCCCGCATACCAGGCTGAAATCAGCCACACTCCAGGTAGTCGAAGGACCTTATAAGGAGCCAATAATTTCGCACCGATGCCTGGCTGATATGTGATGAGTTTTAGGGAACGGAGGTATGAGTAAGAAGGGTACGCGGATGGTGCCACGGAGTCAGCAACGGCAACACTCTCCTTGGTATCTACAGTGGCTTTGTTCAAAACGTCGTCGTCGGATGTGTATGAAGACTGTGGGCGCTCGTACAAAGTCTCGGCTTGGAATACAAGGCAGAGAACGAAGTTGATGGCTGAAAGGACAACATTTATCCAGTGTAGCCAGTCAAGACCCATGGACGCAACAATGTATCCACCGCAAGCACCGCCGACAAGAGATCCCAAGGTTAGGAAGGAAGTGTAGATGGCCTACAAATAGCGTTGTTAGCATTCTGGTACGCTGAGAGTCTCTGTCACAATTACATACCATAGCACGTCCACGCTGATGAACAAAGAAAATCTCGCCAACCACATCCGGACTAACCGCGTCGGCAGGTGCTCCGCCAATGCCCATGAATATACGTGCAACGAGAAGACTATTGAAGCTTGTCGCTAATCCTCCCCACATGCTCGAGAAGACTAGCAACAACAGGCTAGCCAGAGTCACTGGGCGACGCCCAAAGGTGTTGGCCAAGGGCACCCACCACAGGTTAGCCGCCCCCAACATGAGAACATTGACCGCAACGAGGTATGTCAGTTCTGAAAAACGTTTTGGAGGGAGACCAAACACTGGTGTTGACGCATATACCGGGAAAGCACTGGAGATGGACGCCGAAGTGAAGTTCACCACAAAAGGGTGCATAGACATGACTGCGAGCATCACAAGCTTCCGCCATTTGGGCAGATTCAGCGGGTCTGCTGGGTCTGACGTTGGCTGGGGTACCAGACGAATCTCATCTTTATTCGTCTGTGATGCTGTCCATTCGAGATGTTCTGATGAGGTAAAAGTCGTCAGCTCTGACAACCCCGAAAGTCTGTTGTCGCGTCTTACCAACCAGTGTTGCAGTTCCAGGGGGCCTGGCATTGCGCACCTCCTCTTTGGAAAGCTTAAACGCCGCGCTGAAGGATGTCATTGCGGGCTGATGAGTACGTACTGATCAGAATGGAAAGCAAAAAAAAAAAAAAAAAAAAAAANTTAGATAGAACGGCCGTCGGCCAAAGTCCTACATAGCCAACGGCTGATACAGGACTATAATGGAATAATAATATTGAAGCATGCTTTGATATGATCCCAATCGCGAAAGTAAAGCTCGGTGGTGTCGTCACGCCCGCACCAGATCTGATTCGCATTCCTCAGAATACCGTCATCGCCGCGTGGGCCGTAAACAGAATCAAAGACTTGCGTTTGGATGTACTTACTGTATACTTGTGTATTAGCAAGACCCTAGCATAGTATGTAACATCTGTTCACAGCTTACTGCGGTTTTTGATTTTGGTCGTCGATGATATCACTGATTGAGCCATGAATTTGGAAGCGATGATCAAAAAACTCTTTACGAGTTAAGCCAGGTTTTCTGCGCCCAGTGGCTATCTGTTTGATTAATCCGGTGGTACTGGCCATGATGGTTTGATAGATGCGTCGATGTCTTGAATGCAGTAATAGAAGTGTATTGTATAAATATTCTCCGGATTTTACTAGCGCTATATATCTTTAGTATTGAGGCATCCTTTACCCTAATCTCCACATTCCGAGTGGAAATCTTACAAGATGCATATATGACTAAGTGCTCGTTTATATTTGATCTATATTTAACTCTACCAAATCTAAGCAAAATATAGAACCGGTTCTATTATGGTCAGATTAAACAAGTAGAAAGTTAACTCTTTGCTACTACGCTAATTCTACACATTCAAGTGAGTGTTTAACTTGTTTATAAGTGCAGGATTGCTAAATTTTCTCCTTTTTTTGGGCTCCCAATGCTGCGATGGGTTCTGAAATCACCTGAGCGCAGATATCATTACTGATTATTTGAAAGGTCGTAAATTTGGGAATGGTAATTATGCGAATTGAATAACGAGCGGTATGTGGAGACGTTTCGGCGCTGAACTTACGCCGAGAAGGTTTCGGCTTTACGTTGCGGTTATCTGGATAGGCAGTATTCGTGAAGTTTGATCCGTATTTAGTTTAGCTTGTACATTAGCTGGCAGTTTTAGATGAAAGGGCCTCGCGTCTGCGGGGAAATCTTGGGGTTCGGGTCTGTGGGGCTCGGGTCTGTGGGGTTCGGGTCTGTGGGGAAATCCTGGGGTTCGAGATCAGTCATGGCCCGGCTCCAGAATTAACGCCTTGCGTGAATATGTAAAGGCTGTTTATCACATATTTGTGCTATATGTAGTACACAGTATTGAATACACAAATCCCAGCTGGAGAGTAACGATATGGACCATAAGGAAGAGCCACAAACTAGTGAACATGTTCCGGAAGAAAGCCTCGAAGAACCAACGGAGGTTCATATTAGAACTATTATAGTGGTGGCCGTAAGTCATACCTACTCTTGCTTTGTTACTCAGCTAATGGCTCGTTGCTTCATTTAGGCCGTATGCTTGACGAGCGCTGCCCAACTGATTTCTATTGTGGGCGGCGGTGCACTCGCTCGACCTATGGCAACCGCGCTTGGTGACCCTACAGTATCGCAGTGGTTCGGAACTATCAAGAACATATTGACCTTGGTCACTATCCTTCCAGTCTCACAGGCTGCAGATTTTTGGGGCCGAAAATGGTTCATTTTGATCTGTAATTCACTTGGTGTAATTGGATATTTAATCGTCTCCCGGTCCAAAAATTTGACTACAGTTATAGTCGGCTTTGTTATCGGCAGCGCCTCCTTTGGCTGTCAATCTTTAGCTTATGCTATACCTTCGGAAGTCTTGCCTCGCAAGTATCGTGGTTATGGCCAAGCTGCAGCAAACATATCAGGTGGATTGGGAGCTACAATTGCAACACTTATGGGCAATGCTCTTACGAAACACAACCCCGATGGCTGGAGGACATACTGGTACATCTGCGCTGGCGTCTACTTTCTCAGTATTGTATGCGTCCAATTTGGCTACAACCCTCCACCACGTGAACTCGAGACTACAATGACTACAACACAGAAACTTCGGACGATGGACTGGATTGGAAGCTTACTTATTGCGGTAAGCTTGGTCCTCATTTGTATGGCTCTCCAATGGGCTGGCAATCCATACAAATGGTCAAATATACACGTTCTCGCACCCTTGGTCATTGGGATCTGCTTTCTTTTTGCCTTTGTGCTGTGGGAGTGGAAAGGCACTACTGAAGGCATACTCAACCATCGCTTATTCCAACACCGAAACTTGCCTCTCTCCCTCGTACTCTTCTTTACGGAAGGCCTGACTTTCCAGACGGTCAACAATTACTTCAGTTTCAATATATCTAAGATCTCTCATATCGACTCATGGAATAGCGGCCTTCGATTTATCATTGTATTTATCACCTCCGTTGTTATCGCCTTTGTCGCAGGCGCTTATATTACGTTTCGGAAGAGAGTCCGAGAGACTTTGGTGGGCGGGTTCCTTGTCGTCACCACTTTCTGTATCCTCATGGCATTCTATAAGGAAAGCCTCCCACTAGCCAATGGTTTTGGCTATGCGGTTCTTAGTGGAACAGGGCTTGGGGTCATCTTGACTGGTACGATTGTAGCTGCACAGATGGGTACTCCTCCAGAGATGATATCCCTCAGTACAGCACTCCCCCTGGCCACAAGATCCCTTGGAGGCGCGATCGGCCTCGCTATTGACAATGCAATCTACAGCAACACTCTCAACAGCAATCTTTCCAAGAAAATCGCCGAAGCAGTGTTGCCACTTGGATTCAATGCAAACAGCTTAGGAGACCTGATCAAAGCTCTCCTAGCGAATTCGCCGGCTGTCAACCAAATCTCTGGCATCACGCCACAGATTCTCGCTGCTGCTAATCATGGATTAGATGAGGCGTACAGAATGTCCTTGAAAAATCTTTGGACTTCCGCGGCTTGCTTTGCTGCTGTTGGCGTCATCGGTAAGCTGTCTATGCCCCACGGTCCACGATCTAGATGAATTTTCGAGGCTTTAAAGCA